AGAGAGAGAGAGAGAGAGAGAGAGAGAGAGAGAGAGAGAGAGAGAGAGAGAGAGAGAGAGAGAGAGAGAGAGAGAGAGAAAGAGAGAGAGAATGTAACTTGCACTTTTGCCCTTTTTCTTTTTGTGCTATATTCCTTCTCTGTCCTTCATTTTTAGATATGAAAAAAAAACTTGGACCCTTTCTCCATTTGTGTTTGTCATCCTTGTGTAGGGGCCATCCTGACGAATGTTCCGAAGGATCCCTTCAACTTCCAGTGGGGTTCTCCAAGACTTGACACACAGAATAATTTCACTTGTGTTTATATTCCCGCAACTCTATCCGACAGTTCTTAGGCTTTTGCTGCAAGGGTCTATAATTTTATAATAAACGACTGCGCGGGCGACTGACCGCTGCACAGTTCTGAATTCGCAGGAAGGAATCACAGTAACGGGGCACTGCAGCAGTTATGGGCCGACGGAGGGCAGTTAAAAACTGCAAAAACAGATTCTGAACTGTTACAGCTTTGTGCACTTCTAGCCGTTGGAAGTTCGGAAGTGGCAAAATCAGGCGGCCACTCATGTGGTTTTTTTTTTGCGTCTGCAACTTTTTTTTTTTTTTTTTCCCGCGCCTGCGACTCTTTTTTTTTTTTTCGTGCCTGCTTATGCCACGGCCGAGCTGTCTAGGCCACACCAATGGCTGGGCCATGACCGAAATGTCTTGGCCACGCCCATGGCCGAGATGTCTTGCCCATGCCCATGGCTGGGCCACGGCCGAGATGCCTAGGCCACACCCCTGGGGAAACGAGCCGAAAACGGGAGGGTCTGCTACCGCTAACTGCTCCCAGGCCAGGCCACGGGAAAACTACCACTACCGCCACCTCCCGTTTTTGCCAATTATTGAACCGGTAGGCCATCAAATGCATGATCTACTGTTTTTTCTTGCAGTTTCTAACTGGTCTTCCCCCAAGCTTGCAGTGGACTGTTATTTCTGCGAATTCTGAACTGTGCAGCGGTCACAGGCGCAGTTGTCTCATTATATAAGCATTTGTAACACGTGTGCCACAAGCTGAAGTCTTCTCTCATAACTAACTGACAAAATGTAGAGCCCCCAACTTAGTCTCTGGGGGAATATCTTCGCTTCCCCCATCCGACAGTCGGAGACTGCTCCATGGATTTCTATGCTCATTTCTAAGGGCCTTCCTCCACCACTCGCCTGACGAGACTTTGGGTGAGTAAGGGCCTCATGTCACCATCTTACCACGGCCGTTGTGTCCGACAGCAGTTTTTTCTTTTGGAGAACAGACAGCGATGAGTGTTCACCACAGGTTGTATGTTCCCTCAGGGCCTGCCAGATAGAACCCCTTAAACCACCAATACCTCCGAGGCTCTTTTTGCCGAGAACTGTGGGCCCAAGCTTTGGCGAAGCACCAGTTTTGGGCTGGTGCCGCCAGTCAGTTTGATCCGGTGGCGCCCACCCTACGAACAATGGCATTGCGGTATAGATTATATTCACGAGTTAGCCTTCCACTCTGACAGGTCGTGGTGGTCCAACGCACCCACATCACGACTGTATCAGACCGAAAGGTAGGTTGGTTATATACGTTTATGATGAGGGTGCGTTGCATTTGCGGAAGACAGATGCTCTTTTCTTTTCCTTTCTCCCGTGTACAGAATCAACCGGCGACTTTTCCGGACAAGTTCGTTGGCGCCGGTCTATCACTTTTGTCAACCCCGAATGCAAATTCCAAGCAGTAAAAAGTACTAAAAGCTCTTTTTTTTTGTTTTTATAATGGGAACAAGGCTCCAATCTATTCGTGGGGAGCAGCACGTGCTGGGAACCGGGCCCAGCGTCTCATGTGGAAATTATTACATAGAAGTTTGAAAATTTCAGATATTTGAGATACCGGGGCCATTACCCGGCTTTGGCTAAGAAGAATTTCAACTACTTAGCAAATTACTACGACGAACTTCAGGCGAAGTTCAGAAAACGACTCAGAAACCCCCCATCAATCCTCTTTACCTCACTCCGGCAAGACTTACTGCAGCAGAGCCACCATCTCCGCTGCTGCTGTACCCTATTTCCGTCCTACAAGCTAGCCCCCTCACTAGTAGGACACTTGAAACTGACATTTCGTTAAAACTTAAAACCGACATTGTTTTCTAAATTTTACGAAAGTGGACTTAGTCAAAATTTCATTGCTCATTGGGTGAGAACGTGCTTATCTAACTAAGTCAGAATTTCATTGCTCATTGGGTCAACCTGGGCTTAAAAAAAAAAAAAAAAGTGGTTATCTAACTTTGACCATCTGATATATCGCAACGTACCGTACCGTCAAAATACATCCAAGGGTCCAATCATTCGGTTTCGTCACGACGCCCGACCATCAGATAGCCCGACGTCATGGGGACTTCATATGGCGTACGCTCAATTTCACGACTTTAGAAAAAAAATGTCAGTTTCAACGAAATGCCAGCTTAAAGACCGTGTAGGAAAGATATGCATCACCAGGCTTCCAAGCGAACCGTGTGTCCAACAACCATACAGCTCCACATGTCATCATGTCAACTTAGCGGCATCCTCCCTGTGTTGCACGGGCGTATAAATTGGTGCGCGATAGGCACCCATCACACCCTGTGCTGCTTTCTGACTGGAGGATGGCCTCAAAGCTTGAAGTTTGCTACAAATGATAGGATTTGTAAGCGACGGGAAGGAGCCAGCTAAGGACGGTGTGTTGCGAAAAAGCGTGTGTTTTTTTTTGTGTGTGTGTGGGGGGGGGGGGGTAACTTCAGTAGAGTTTTGAAGTGTTTTGAAATGAACGGAGTGAAAGCTAAAGTGACAATCACACAAAGTATGACAAGTCAAGTACAATCACTCGTGTCTCGAAGTCGAAATGTTTCCATGCRCAAAGCAATGATTACACACGACAACAAGTACAAA